TAAACTACCCCTATAGCTATGTTGCCGGCTAGCAAACTCAGGCATCGCAAACAATAACGTGATATCAGAAAACTAGAAATGTATAACTCACCTGACACTGTGGCGTGCTATTCTCTTCATTCGAGTCTGTCATGTCCTGTAAATGCATGTGTAAATGTCAACGATGGATGTGTAATAAGAACGTCAACAGCCTGATGGCAACCGAAAATCCCTCTCTCACTTCAGATAGAAGATATGATTGGAGACGACCAGCCAATCAGAATTGACCTTCTCGAGTTCTCCGATTGGTTGGTTTTGTGGCACATTTGTAACGCTGTGACAACTTGAGCGAGCGCAGGCAAAGCTGAGCGCGCACAGGCTGGAGAGGTCGAGCGAGCGAGGGAGAGAGAGCGCGTGCAGCGGTCTGCTTGCGCACGGAGCAGGAGTTTTATGAGAGAACATATATTTCTCTGCTCAAACATTTTCAAGTGCGCGCTCAATAGCATTTTCTATGCTCAACATGTTTCATTGCGTGCTCAGGATAGAGGCACAAATATAACGCCATAGCTATCAACTCATTCGCTCAAGCCAACCGTGTCCTATCTAGTTAGTTGCGCGTTCACATAAAAGGGGTGGTATCTGGAGCATTCGACCAATCACAAACATGGAGAAGCATACTGACAGCGCAGCGTCATACTTCCTGAATGAAAAGTGAACTTTAATACTAGACATCAGGGTTTCCGCTAGGATTTTTTCTCGCCGGTCAAATGTCCGGGCAGAATTTATTTTACCGGACAAATTTGAAACTTACCGGTCATATTTCAATAATAATAGTAAGAGTTGTGTAGCAGAGTTTCCGTTAGCAGGTAATGACCGGACTATGAGCAGATATGCTTCAGTTTAAAACTCAGTTCACGGGGCTCATTTTTATATTGCTTCAGTCTATAATCGTAACAGATCGAAAAATTCAGATCCATTTTTCAATAAATGATTCCACAAACAACATAATTATTACATTCAAACAAACTACTTGTAGTAGATAACGTACATTATTCAAAAGTTTACATTAACTTTGAATAATAACACGGGAGAAACGGATCCTCTCTTTTCCTCTCTCCCTCCCTCTCTCCTGACAGCCCGTCAGTTTCTCATGCAGCTCCTGCAGCTCGCTAAACAGAGGCGGGGCTTCAGGTGATTATGCAGAGGTGCGTGTCTCGGTCTGACTCAGCAGCTGATCTGATCTCTCTCGCGTGTCCGGTTATACTTCACTCGCGTTTATGTCCATATCGATCAGTTCCAGCTCTCCTGATCGGCCTTTATAGAGAGCACCGATCAAACTATTAAGAGTGAATATCGGCCGATAATGACCAGTGGCCGATCTATCGGAGCCTTCCTAATTATTACCAGACATTTTGACCGGCAGGTTTTGAATTTACCGGTTTTTAATAAATGTTACCAGCTAAAAACCGGTAATTACCGGCTAACGGAAACCCTGCTAGACATATGAAGAAGTTAAACTTTAAACATCCATGACTTAAACACTTGATCCAGGATCAAAGCCACATAGCTGCACCTGCAAGGTGAATACAGCTGGTAACACAACAAGTGTTTGAATGCGTACATTAACAGGTTTATGATATCTCTGCCCCGTCTAAAACACGATCTGACTTTAATTACATTTGACTCGAGAATGTTTCGTCAACTTAATGTGTTGCTTAAAATAATACTTCTGCATACAGTATGTGACACTGTGAGTGTTGCAAGGCCGATACGGCTCAGCTGACTCAGATAAGGAAATATATGATACATTATGATGCATGTGATATGATGTGATATGAATGATAATGGGACACATCGACGTCTGCACTCACAGTGCCGCTGACTGTAGGCTACGTAATGTTACTTTGATCCGGTTACTTATGTTGTGGCAGATATTTAATTAAGCTTTCTTAACATAGCCTAATAGTATAATAGTTCTAATAGTCAGATTGCTCTGAAGATGGGAGGTGATGTTCTATTCATTTTCACATTCACACAGTCAGTGATTTTGGCCGGCCGTCATTCCTGCAACGGCAGTTTAAACTGTATTTCCTCCGCACACTGAGCTCTGATTGGTCAGCAGGCGTGGTGCTTTCGCTGAGTTGATCTCTTATCCTGGAATCTATCCTGCTTCGGAGCACAGACTAGGTTCCAGGATAAGTCACCATGGAGATCTAGCCCGCTAAAAAGTGAACCAGCTTCGTAGTACCGGAAATCCCAGAAGTTATCTTGCTAAACGAAAATCCTGCTTCGTAGTATACCCCGCAGGTTAGGTTGCAGGCTAAGAGCTCAACTCGGTGAAAGCACCGCCTGCTGACCAATCAGAGCTCAGTGTGCGGAGTTTAAAGCGATCAAGTCATATTACAGGAGAAAGGAAATACAGAAAAGCTGCCGTTGCAGGAAAGACGGCCGGCAAAAATCACCGTCTGTGTGAACGTGAACATGAATACAATATCACCTCCATCTTCAGAGCAATCTGACTATTATAACATTAGCGTTAAGAAAGCTTACTTAAATATCTGCCACAACATAAGTACACTGAGTGCAGACGTCGATGTGTCCCATTATCATTCATATCACATCATAATGTATCATATATCTCCTGATCTGAGTCAGCTGAGCCGTATCAGGCCGTGCAACACTCACAGTGTCACATACTCAGCCTGTCCTCCTACGAAAAACGACCAAATAGGTCGATTGTTTTCCGACCCAAATACGACCCATAGCCACGTTTTAAAGTGTAGCACCTCTAGTGGTCGTGTAAGAAACAACATGCTCCCGTCTATTCATTTCTTGCAGCAGTTTATTACGACCTATTGTCATGTTTTAAATTTAGCAACTCCTGGCGGATCGTAATCCCGTGAACTTTAACCTTGGGCATCAATAAAAGTGCGACGAGGCGAAGAAGAAGAAGAAGAAGAAGAAGAAGAAGAAGAATAAGAAGAAGAATAAGAAGAAGAAGAAGAAGAAAATAAGAAGAAAGAAGAAAAGAAGAAGAAGAAGAAGAAGAAGAATAAGAAGAAGAAGAAGAAGAGAAGAAGAAGAGAAGAAGAAGAAGAAGAAGAAGAAGAAGAAGAAGAATTGTTAAAGAGCGTCACAGCTGTACAAGTGGTAAATCTGATTTCTGTATTTCATTTGATTTGTTTACGCTTTTAATTAATCCTGTCGTTTGTCTACAAATCATGTTTAAACACGATATTTCAGTTTTACGTTTTAGGGCTGGCCCGTGGCATAGGCAGTATATGCGAATGCTTGTTGTTAGCAATAGCATGGCTGCAAAGGTTAGCACTTAGCTTAGGTACAGATGCGCTAACGGATATGTATTGCAATATAAGAAGGTTCTTCTGCAACAAGTTGGAGGGAGAGTTTTCTCCTTCGCACAAAAGGAGCTAAAATCTTGCCTAAAAACAAAACCCTTTGTAGCACGTGACATAAAACATAACAATGGCAAAAGTATGTATATTCAGCTAACCAGACCAGGACATGATATGACCTTAAACAATGCGAAAGGAAATGGCATTTTAATAATAATAATAATAATAATAATAATAGACATTTACATGGCGCTTTTCATAATGCACACACTTTTTTTTTCTTCTAAATGTCACCTAACATGTTGCATTAATGATAGTTAAGGTAAGTTCAACACTTTAATATAATCAGGTCATAGTAGTTTTACTACTTTAAACATTCGCTAATTCAACTTAAGTTTTGTGAAGCCATCACATCTAGTTAAAAAGAGAAATATATTTCCCTGTAATTACTGATTTACCTGGGACTTGATTGACATTGGTGCCTGTAGTTTTATTTAGACAAATGTTTATTTATGAAACAACAATTAAAAGACATGGTAGCACAACTAATCTGAGTTAATCTGTTTGTTATTTTTCAGGTCATCCATCAATTCAATTATTTGAAATAGCCTATTATCATAAAAAAATCAACGGTTCTTTTCAGAGCCATATTCTTCTTCACCCCTCTCATTTTCTTGTCTTTTGTTTTGTTTTTCTCCCTCGCTGTATGTCAGTTCATCCTTTGTTTGTTGTTGCCCTTTTTACCCTCACTTAAAAATGGCATCCAAGCAACTAAATGAATGGCTAGAGGCAGGGAAAGCCCTCTCAGATGAGTTGGCAAATAAGGCAAGTACAACATTATCCAAATATGTATTATAACATTTACTCAAATGATAAAAGACACACACATTACAAAGATTTGTGTGCAACAATTAAGGGATATATCTAATCTCTTTTATATATTAATATACCAAAGAAACCGAAGAAACCAAAGAAAATAACGCAAGGATCAAATATGTCCTGGAGGAAGAGGGACCTGGATGGGAACATTCTACCCCAACATTGGAATAAGAATCGATCTGGTCTGTACAATATCATCTAGTTCTAGTGTTTCATTAAGTTTTAATGTCGTTGGTCTTCAATAATGTTTCCTATATCATCGTACTTTGTTTATGCAGTTAAACCTTCCAGCTCTCTGGAGTCCCCAGAGGTCGAGGAGACACATGAGATTCCTCTACAGGTCCCAAGTCTTGGTATGCACAATGAATTCTTAAATTATCCTTCAACTTGAAATGTAGCTAATTGTTTATAGTATGTAATCGCTGTGTTCATGATACATTTTAAAGTGAAAAGCCATCAACAAGTCCTCCAACTAATACGACCAAATAGGTCGATTGTTTTCCGACCCAAATATGTATAAGTATGGAATATCTTTTTTTAATTAAACTAAATTCCATGATTTGTTTTATATTTTGTTATTTTAGATCAACATCTTCTCACACTGAGAAACCTGTTGGGTTCTCTCACTGTCCCTGCATCATCAGAAGAAACACCCACTGTAACAACATGGACCCAAAGACAGTTGAAACGTGAACAAAAATTCAGAGCTGCAATGCCAGAGCTCCTTCATTTGAAATTGGCTGCAGAGATTGTCACTAAACGTTCCTGTCTCCAATGCAAAACTGCTGATGCTGTGGTCCGGTGCTTGGACTGTGTTCCACCAGGAACTCCCTTTCTTTGTCCGGCATGTGACCCAATTATCCATGGCAAAAATGTCTTCCATGACAGGGAAGCCATGATTGATGGGTTTTACAGACCTATTCCTCCCACATCCTTAGTGGTTGTGGATGAAAGTGGCCAATATGGACTCTGTGAACAAGGTGGGTTCAAATAGTTTATTACATATTCCCTTACCATGGTTTCCTAATGTGCACTACATATACAGCGGCATCATTTTCACCATGTCGGAAGTTTGCTTTAACTATTCAAATGTCTCAATTTGTATTGACTACATGTCCTAACATGCATATGAATCTCTGAAATTGTCTTTGCTACAGTGTGTCTGCTTCCAATTCCTCCACCATCCCAAATCTGCTTCTGTGGTCCAAGCCAAGATTTCACCATCATCCCAGGAAAGCAGACCGTGTTGGTGACTATCAATGGTTTGTTGCCACCAGAAGACGATGTGGTCAAGCAAAAATACAGGATTACTATTATACTTTTGTCCTGCGTTGCATAGATACCTGTCAAATTGCACATTTATATTTTTTCTCAGGTCCATACAACGTTTGCCTGCCTTCTGTGTGCTGTCCAACTTGTTCCACCAAATGGTCCCCGAGCATAGGTGACTTGCTTGGATACAAATACTGGCCAGCAACCGACAGCTGCAAAATTATTTTTAAGTTTGATGTGTTCACATCATTCGAGCAAATGAAATTGGCCAGCCCAGCATTATCCCAGCAAGTATTTATAAAAATGCTTGAACATCGATCGTTTTCCACAGGAAGGGTAAGAATAAAATGTGGTTTTCAAGATTTTTGAATACCAAACTTTGAATTAACAAAATGAATACCATTCTTGTTTCCAGACAGGCAGAATCTGTAGCGATACCTTCCACAGAGTCTTTCGGGAGTTTGCCTTCTGTAATTACAGACAAGAAGATCTGTGCCTGGTGGAGCCCTTTAAATGCCCAGCATGCACACCTGACATGCTGGCTATTGCTGTAGATGGCAAGAGAAAGCATTATCGCTTCAAGAAGTCCAGAGGGTCAGTGAAATCATATTCTCATTTTAGTTGTTGTTTTATTGACTAAGCTGAATGTCTTTGCTGAAATGTTGAACTTTCCCCAACTTTCCAATTTTTTTATTTATTTTTATTTTCCAAAGTTTGTAGACCATCAGAAAACAATAGTTGGTTTGTAATTACACATAATTATATCAATCCAATTCATAAACATTATTGTATATGACGCCTGTAAAGTTAGCTCAACTTTAAAATGTTAAATGGTTGACGTTAGTTGGATATGTTGGAGCTAAGAACCAGCTTTGGATATAATCGCTTCATGATAAATGTATTAAATTGTCCAGGAACCTTTTTCTCTGCCTTCCTCTGCCCTATTCCATGCCCAGCAATATAAAGGATGTACTTTTATTTGTACCTTTCTACAAGAAGTCAGTAAACTTTTCACTAATGTTAAATAATGGTGACAAAAGGCTTTACACAAAATTACAGATCAAATTCACAAAGGCCTTTTCCACATTTATGAAAAATTGATAGCAAAAGCAAATTGCCCACATTAAATAGAGGACACAATCAAACTTATGTATGTATGATAATGTTGCTTACAATTTCTTTCTCGAATTTCGCAGGACAGATGAACCGTCTCTATTTGATGGACTGTTCATTGCCCAGGACAGTAAAGTGTCTGCCTTTGTCGACAAAATCAGGAGCCAGATGACGATTGTAAGAATCTATTCAACCCACTAACCCTTTTATTTATTTTACTTAGCACAGGGTTAAATGTAACAGATTGTGTCTATTTCAGAAAAGTGGTCGTGATGTTTGTGGACCGGCAACATTCACAGCTTGCAGAGAAACCTCACACAAGTCCAGGGCCAAGGTGGACGAGGAAGGCCTGCAAATAGCTGTGTGCAGACATGGCATCTTGCTACAAGGCCTAAATCACTACCGTGGTGAAATATATGCCTACCCAATGTTCCTGCAGAAGGAGCTGGCTGAAGTTGCGAATGCAACATTCTTTTGTATGGATGTTGCCTGCAGGTAGTTATAACTATTGCAAAATGCAAAGTGTTTGTGTGAAACGTGTTATCTATTTAATTATTGCACATCCAGTAGATGTAAAGCAAAAAAGCATTCATTTGGATAAATGCTGATGTTGGTTACAAGGATTGTACTGGTAATTTTAAGGACCTGATTTATCTTTTTACTATTATGCCATCATGCAACTGGAAAAGCTAATTGATTTTGTCATTACAGGTACTGGCCTTATTTGGAGAAGATGGCAGCAAAGTTGCCAGAGCTCCAACCACTTACAGAGATTAAACCTTTTCTCTCTGTAATGCACGCCAAGGCCCACACAGGCAAATGCGAGGTACAGTATGCAAGTTAAACATTTGTGTGACTAGATTCAAATGTTTTAGAAATTGTAGTGCACATAAGAATATCATGTAGTATATTCTATTCAAGCCTGTGGAATAATTGTAATAGTTACAAATGTTGACAAAATTGTTACAAAACAGACTGTCACAAGGATAGGCTTCCAAAACCCATTATGTTGTTTTAGTAAATATATCCGCACTGTAGAAATAATGAATGAACAGAGCTTCAAATAACTGCAGTTGTGACATTGTAGCTCAAAGCATAATTCAATCTCAGAACATTTTAACTTTCTGAAATTTCTCCTGACACTGATGTTAACTAAAGATGTACAGTACAAGAAATTATAATATTGAACTAAATATCTAGATCTCATTGTTTATGATTCTGAGCAGGTGAAGTGGGCAGAAGCCAGGAAGGTGCTGGAAATACTGTTGACGAGGAAGTGGAACAGGTTAACAGCTTCCTCTCAAGGGCAGCTCTGACAACAAAATACATGACCAAATCAGGTTGGTAGAGGAAAACAAATAGTTTTAAGCAGTGCCACATTGTAAAGCTGATGTGAATTCTCATGTTTTTGTGTTTACAGCTAGAGCAGATATGATAACCGTGCTGGCTATGCAATGGAACCACAGGAAGGTGGAGAATCTCCACAAGACACTCTCAAAGAGATTTGTCAAAGTAAGACGTCCATGCTGCATTTCAAAATGTACATTAAGAATATCTGAGTTTCTTGTTGTAGTAATTTAACACCATCCTTAGCTACATGTTGTTGAATAAAATATATTCTGCAATAATTTCATTATGATGGTGCTGCCATGGCACACTGCTCTGCCAAGAGAGTCTCTGTTCTGTTGTTTGTAATTAAGCACTATAGGTTGATTCATCTGAATTTCTGTATAATAATAATCATGTTAATCCTGCTTGATCTTTTAAAAAAAGAAAAGGGACTCTAAGGTGATACTTGCCAACCTTGAAGAGAAGGTGTTTAGCATTTCATGTTGTTGTCTGGTCAGTTAATGTTCATAAAGGAATTCAGTATAAAACAACCTTCTCAACCAACTGGAACGCATATTCACTTTCTGCTTTTAAACATTCTAACCAGACTACACAGAGAGCACAAACTGAAGTGGACAATCTTGAGAGTCTCAAGCAAGAGCTGAACATCTCCCTGGAGGACACGGAGCAGTGGGTGTTGGAGGTCAAGCAATGGGCAGCCACTGGTATGTTATATGATCACTGTGGTATAGATTTGGTTCCATATTTCCAAACATTTGGCTTCATGTTTTATGATTATACCTGGTTGTTTCTGTTTTCAAGAGAAACATGGAGGCCAGAGCAGCCAGGAGGAGCTCCAGAGAGAAATAGATGACATTATTTATTCCCTCCGAAGAAAGAAACACGACCTCTATCGACAAAATGGTATTTATTATTACGTTATCTAGAAACAATATTTGTTTCTTGTTGTTGTTATTGTTAGTATTATTATTATTTTTACTTTACAGACAGCAACCAAACAAGGCAACGCAAACGGAGAAGACTGACAGAGCTCAAGAAGAAACTCAGAGAGAGGATACTGCAGTACAACACCATTGATACCTGTACAGAGACAATTGACACAGAAGCAGCATGCAGTCTGTCTGAGGATGTCATTCTGCCCTGGGAGATGGTAAGAAACAACTTGTTTTTGTTTGCCCTAGATATTCCATAAATGCAGTTGTAGTACTAGAATACAATCACCAATGTAACACAGAGCTGTCAACATAGGTGTCACAAATCATCATGATCACAACAAAGCATTTTGAAATAATTATATTGAAAGGTCTGTATGATGTTGCCCTATCAAGTCTTAATAGTCATGCTATAGTCCAGGGGTGGCCAACCCGCGGCTCTCGAGCCGCATGCGGCTCTTTGCCTAGTTTCATGCGGCTCTTCAGTTCATATCGAATTGTATATGTGTGAGTTTGGGGGAGAGACACTGACTCCTGACTAGTGTTGCACGGTGTACCGATACTTGAAAGGTACCGCGATACCCTGCCGTTAAAAATGTTACGATTCCTCCGTTTCATTAGTATCGGTACTTTAAGAATGACGGGGGAAAGTACTCCGTTGAGAAAGCGCCGTTTTAATAAGAGCCGTGTGTGTTCAGCGCTCTGCTTCCACTCCCTGCACTGCAGCCGTGCCTGCAGTCCCGCCCCTCTCAAGCACGCTCTAAGTCCCTCCCCTCTCTCGTGCACGCGCTAGCTGCCAGAGCATGTGAGAAAACGAGAAGCATGGCTGCAAGTGGGAGTGCAGCTGCCGCTGCGCCTCGGCTTGTTGACAAAAAAGACGCCAGAAGCGAAATTTGGAAGTATTTGAGCTATATCTCTGACAGCAGTGCTTGAATTGGAATGAAAAAGGTGCCAGTACTCTAAAATCAGCAACTTTTTCAAGTCAATTTTATATATACAGCCCACAAACAAGAATTTGGCTACTATAATGCTGGTGGGTTTGTCTCTTTACTACTGTATATTTTAGAAAGGTTCACTGTACTTAACATTTTTTATGATAGGCAGCGGATATGGCTAAAGCTCAGTAAGGTCAATATTAACTGAAAATATAGCAATCAAAGTCTAGATCTTCTGCTGAAGACACATGAAGCAGAGACCTTTCAGGTGAGAGCCCCTCTGGTGGTGTTCAACATTAATGACAAGGAAACAAAGCTCTGGTCAGAAGCATTTTTATAAAAAGCTTTAACAAAATTAAGTATTTCTGTACATTTTGAATGCAATCTAACTTTCCAACTCAGAAAACGAAAAACGAAAAAGTGCCAAAAGTCTTCTCACATGGCTGAGCTGCTTTGCAATATACTTCACCACTGAAGAATACAAATATGTATAAAGTAAACTATGATGCAATCTAACTTTCCAACTCAGAAAAATGATAAAGAGCATGAACAAAGAACATGTAAAAACAAATGCAAAATTTGCACAATCTAAAATGAGAAACTGTAACTGCAAGTAACAAAGTCTGAGCCATGGTAAAGAGTTACATTGAACACCAAGCTGATCAGATAACTCCCTGGTTGGTCTGAAGTCCTTCTATCTCCAGGATCTGTACAAATCGGCACATTATGCCAAAAGTCTTCTCACTGGGTGAGCTGCTTTGCAATATACTTCACATTGTTAGAAAAGGCTCCAGAAGGCCTTGGGGACATCAGTATCAGGGGCTGGAGCTGGACAGGCTCTTTCATCAGCACTTCTCCTTCCCTTTGCCAGCCAGGACCTCACATACTGTTCCGGATTGAACTGTCCTAGTGATGGTCCATTACATTTAATGAAAACCAGGCTGGACAGTCGGCTGACAGAGAGAGCGTTCCTTTTTGCAGTAAGGATATCGTTCATGCAGCTGAATGCCCGCTCACACTCACTAGTGGAGACAGCGATGGTTCGGACTGCTTTCAGTAGAGGCTCCATGGCAGCAGGTGTACGGGATGCCCTGGTTTCCTTGTATTCGCGAAAGCCCTGAACAGTCTCTCTTCTGTCCACTTTCAGCACTTCGCACAAACGTAGCACCTCTACGTCCCCATACTGTACGTCTAACTCCTCTTCAGGCCAACTTCCAGGATGGATAACTTTCATGTCCTGGATTAGCTGATTGTCCCGGGCCTCCCGGCCATGTAATGGGATTTCTCTTGTGCTGACATGAGAGGAGGTTGTGGAAGTCATTCTGTGTCTCAGATTCTCTACCATACTGCGGAAAAACTGACCTGCATGAATCTGTACAAGCCTGCCATTCTCACGCAGGGCAACACCCTTGAAGGACTTCTCAGCTAGAGCTGTATGAACTGTAGTCATGTGTGGGCCAGGCATGGTGACCATGGATTCAAAAACTCGTATTTCTCGAGTTAAGAGCCTATCTGCTGTAGGCAGTGTCATCTCTCTTTTTTGGAGTTGCCGAGAGAGGTCGCTGAGCTCTGTGAGCGCATCGTACATCAGTCCCAGATTGCTGACAAACGTTGCAGGTGTGAGCACATCATCCAGGCCCTTGTACTTTGCTCTGTCTCTGGAATCCCTGCTCGTGTCGTTTGCAGCATTTGTGAAGTGATCATGAAGCACTCGGTAGTTTTCCCAGACTGCTCTGACGCTCCTTTCACTTGAAGCCACCCAGCGGATGGACAAAACACGCCCTATCACCAGGAGACGCTGTCCGACTGCTTGCGCACACTGCGCTAACTGCCTCTGATTTTTGGGGGAGGCATGGAACAAGGAATAGAGTTTGTCAAAAAAGATCTGGAAATGATTGAGCCCTGAGACCTCCTTGACCACATCCCCAACTGCCAGCTCTAGACGATGATTGGAGCAGTGCCACACAAACAGGCTTGGGAATTTACTACACAACTGGGTAGCAACGCCTGTTCTCTTCCCTAGCATGACTGAAGCCCCATCACATGCAAAAGAAACGAAACACTGACCTAAAAAGTCCTCGTTAAAATCTCTTCCAAGACACTCCATTAACGCCTTTGTGATGTCATCAGCCGTTGTTCCATCCAACTCGATCAGCTCCCAAAAAAACGTTTCGGGCTCAGCATCAGCTAATGCTGAGCGTAGACACACAACAAGCACCGTTTTACCACTAATAGTGGTAGATTCATCGACCAAAACACAGAGTTTTCTTTGGTTTTCTGTAATGTCTTTTGCCATTTTTTTCTTCAGCTCATGAGCTATGTGGTCGATGATTTCGCCACAGGTTTTATTGGAGTGCAAAACCCTGCCCACGTTCAGCCCATTCAGTTTCTGTACATTCAAATCAATTGGCATGTCTGTGAATGGCCGGCTATGTTTGCCAATTTTATATGTTCGAAAAACTCTGATAGTGGTGTCTAATTCAGATTTATGCATAGACTGCACTTGATGTTGAATAGTTTCACATGAAGCAGATGTAAGGATGTCAGCAGCTTTTACATGGGCTTGTGATTCTTTATGTTCTTTGATTTTTTTTCTCAGGCTAGCTTGTTGTTTGCCCTTGTCAACACCGAAATGAGACACTGCACACTCACCCCATTCAGTTGACAGTTTCAGTCCTTGTCCAGTGTGTATTCCCAAAGATTTGACATCTCTGCATATCCCACATCCTAGCTTCTTATATTTAAGAAGGAGCCATGCATTGGTCTTGCAAACATATTGCACCTGGTCCGTTGTCCAGCAGTCAGGTGCATCGCTTTGCCCGGTGTTGGTGGTGGCAGTTGCGCCAGCAGCAGCTAACGTTAGAGGCTCTGGAGGAGGCGGCGGAGCTAGTGCTAATGCTAATGCACTAGAACTTGGAGCAGGAGGATCAACCAAAGAAAGCTCCCCATCAGACACAATTTCCAACACAGGCACAGCATTCTCTGTATTTGAAGTTTCTTCCGGCGACAACCGCTGTCTTTTTGCACTTTTATTAATCCACGCTAACATTTTAGAAATGCTAATTTGTGACGTGACTTGCTTTCCTTCTCTCGGGGGCGTGCCTGCTCTGTTCTATCACTCTACATAGCCACCCACTGGGTGGGAGTTGCACTGCATAAACACAACACACGTGCATCTAGGTATGTAAATTGTAAAGCATTAAAACATGGTTTTACTAACAGTTTTCAGTATGTTGTTACTTCGGCATTATTATTATTATTATTATTTTGAAACGTGTATTACTATTAAATCACGGTCAAATAGGTTAATTTTGACAGTCGTTTCCACCACAGTATTTACATGGAGAAGATAAGCCCCGCCCCCTCTCCAGCACGTTCTGTTTGAATGACAGGAGTAAACAGCTGACAGCCGCTGTGAAACTCCAGCGGTTAGAGCGATGAGAATGTCCGTTCGGCACCTCATGACCCATCTACTGAGTACCGGGCGGCTGTATATATGTATATGGATGTATAATAAGAACGGCGGGAGAGTGTTGAGTACTGGCACGGTGCATGAGTACCGGAGTACCGCCAGCATGCCGGTACTGAGCAAGAAGTGCCGGTACTCCATGGGTCAGAACCAGAAGTGCCGGTACTGCGTACCGGTGAGTACCGGCCCAATTCCAGCACTGTCTGACAGTGAGGGCAAGCCTACGGACACCACGAGGCCTGTCTGTAAGAAATGTATTAATTTTATTTAATAGGAAATCTTGTCATTTATTTAATTTATTGTTCTCATTGTTTAAAAGTTTGTGTTATGGTTATGGTTCTGGTGTGAAATAAAGCACAATAATTACATTTAAGACTGTTTTTTAAGAAAAGTATCGAAAAATAATCGGAATCGCAATTCTTGACTTGGTATCGAAACCAAAATGTTGGTATCGTGACAACACTAGCTACTCCTGACAGTTAAACCTGATATTTAGTAGGTCTGTTAAGTATTAACGTAATTTGGCCGGTCAAAGTTGTTTGGGCTCGGATAAAATCGCTCCGTTACTTTCGTCCCGTGTTACTTTCGTCCCGGCTCCCGGTGTGTATGTGTGGTGTCAGGTGTCAGTATGAGAGGATGACAGCAAGTCTAATTTTGATGTGGCCCAAGAGCCAATCACAATAATACCTGCGATGCAGTGAACCAATCACCTTTGAGGGGGGGAAACCTATCGTTGATTAAACACTATCCAGTGTTTCCCCTACCATTGTTTTGGAGGGGCGCTGCGCCCCGCCAACGGAGCCCCGCGCCCCCCCCCTGAAATTGAAGGTGTTTAAAAAATATATATAATTTTTTTTTTTAAATATATATAGCACCAAATTGCAAATAATCTATAACTACTGTCACTTTTCACATTGAACATGTGCTCTTTTATTAAATAAACTAAACGCTTTCATTTTAAGTTGTGAATTTAGTGTTTTTGACCCTAAGAAACACTGATGCATTAATCAATAACAATAATCCACAACTCCTCTCTCTGCTCCAGAGGATTTAAAAAATATATATCCCAATGCCACAAAAATGCATCAGTGACGTGGTTGAAATATTGTCTCCAGAAAACAAAAAAACGGAAACAAGCGGTATCAGTGCCTCTGTGTTTGATGTGGCTCTTTGCAGTAACATAGAAAAAATGTGGCTCTTAACCTCTGACTGGTTGGCCACCCCTGCTATAGTCTCACTGGGACAGGCACATCTATGGAAACAGTAAAACCCTTCCTGACCACCCTGAACTGCATACTAATGTTGAATCTCAAGACATACTGAATGTAATTCTGCCAACATAGACAGAATTGAAAAAATTCAGCAAGCGGCGAGGTTGGACATTTTTTACCAGATTTCAAGGTTTTGGGCAATTTAAGTTAAAAAGATTGAATGCAAACGGATATTATTTGTTTTATTAGCCTTACCATTGTGTTTGTGTTGTCATATTTTGTGTTTTTTCCATTATAGTGGTGAACCTACGCACAAAGAGGCGACTTTTTGACCAGGTTATGCTGGTCAGGCGTATGGAAGAGGAGAAAGTCATCATTGTGAAGGAGATGACCCACTATTGTCAAAATCTGAGGCAGGCACTGGACAAACTGGACCACCTCCTTCATCAGACAAAAGACGACATCAGGAACCAAAGTATGTTCCACAAATACCGATTTATAACATTTGCCACTGCCCCTTCTGGTCAGTGTCAAACGTCTGTCACTGAATAGCATCTGTAATGATTGCATTTTTTCTGAATCACAAATCTTTTTAGCTAATATACAGCCTCGGAGTTAAACATTAAAATTGCTTATATGGAACCAACATCAATGCTAATTAAAAGTTGCCTTACATAGACTGTCATTTTGTCTTTTTATTTTAGTTTCTCCAAGCGATATAACAGAAGAGGGATACAGGGGACTGCACTGCTGTCTTTTACACCATCAATATCTTCTGGAGCAGAAACTGAGCAGAGTCACCAGCACCTACAGCTGTATTGGCACGGACTCGTCTTTTCTCATGATGGAGGAAGACATTGAAGACGTTGATGAGGACAACGAACAGGACGGTGATGAGGACAACGAACAGGACGGTGATGAGGACAACGAACACGACGGTGATGAGGACAACAAACAGGAAGGTGATGAGGACAACGAACAGGACGGTGATGAGGATAACGAACACGACGGTGATGAGGATAACAAACAGGAAGGTGATGAGGACAACAAACAGGACAACGAACAGGACTTAACAAGTCTATTGTATTGTGTTGTATGCATGTGAACGTATTAAAACGAGTATTACGATTTAATGGCTTGTTTATTACCTTTTTTTTGTATTATCCTGCTTTGCATTTACTATGTCTGGTATTCAACTAAATGCCATTAGCAGTTATCAGTCACCTTCGGATCCGAGTTACCTCGAGGGCCGGAGGTTCCCCACCCCTGGTATAAGGTTTTGGTGATTACCCTTATTATCATGATCTGTTTAATTAACCAATGCTTACATCCAAAGAATGTGTCTAGATTTTACTCCTACAGACACACACTAACAATACAAATGGACCTAAGTAATACACTCACCGGCCACTTAATTAGGTACACCTTGCTAGGATGGGTTGGACCCCCATCTGCTTTCAGAACTGCATTAAGTCTTCATTGCATAGATTACACAAGGTAGGCTACTGGAAACATTCCTCAGAGATTTTGCTCAATATTGACCTGATCGCATCACGCAGTTGCTGCAGATTTGTCAGCTGCACATCCATGACTCAAATCTCTGGTTCCACCATATCCCAATGGTGCTCTGTAGGATTTGGATCTGGTGACTGTGGAGGCCATTTGAGTAAAAGTCATTGTCATGTTCAAAACCAGTTGGAGAATATTTGAGCTTTGTGACACGGTGAGTTATCCTGCTGGAAGTAGCCATCAGAAGATTGGTACACTGTTGTCATAAAGGCATGGACATGGTCAGCACAACCCGGTATCAAGGCAAGACGTGAACATGTGACGATTTACCATGCTGGGAGACGTGAAGATGTCACGATGTTGTCCCTTCAAACGTGACAATTACACAGTATTGTTAACATGGCCCAACCAGTGGAGATATACCCGGAAATGCCAAGCAAATGCTACCCCTACGGTCGGTTGTTATTATTATCAATATTAATAAAATAATGATTTAATTTGTAATAGTCACACTCGATTTCGCCGATTTTCTTGATTTGCTGGTCGACACCTCTTTTAGCAGAAACAAAGGCTACATTAATTTATTAAATCGATGTTAATCTGTGGATGTGGAATTAACGGACGTGACGTTGTGCGTTTGTGTTACCAGGCAACAGCTTCGGTTCATGTTAATTTACAAACTCTTCAACTCGAACAGTAGTCATATTTAAAAACATTTTATATGGCCTCACGAAATACTTTAATGTAAATTTAAATGTGAAGGAATGTGTGTGTATAACAAAATACATCTGTCAAAAACAATACCGGAAACAGACCTCAGCTCGGTGATTCGATGGTTTAGCCGCAATGCACGTTGGGAAATGGTGTTTATGCGATGTGAAATCCGAAAACATTAAAATAATACTTTATTCCGAGTGTGCTTGCTTTTCTCTTTGAAAGTCATCACATAACGGCATTGTAATACACGGTTCGGCTGCATTAAATATTACATATCTGCCGTAGTTCTGTATTTATAGAGCCCTGATGAGAAGACCTCTAGACAAACATGAGGAACTGAAAACGTGACGTGGATCATAAATATATCAGCCATTAAACAACATCTTACATTTCTCTTCACACAATACGTCTCCTTGCAGTATCAACACTAATTCGGCTGACTTTTATATTTGATCCAATTGGTAGATAGGCTGTATTTACACCATAAAGGTGCACAGCTGATAGAAAGGGACACCTAGTGGTTAAAGCACGTTATTGAATTGTATTATTAGGGCCCGAGCACGAGAGTGCTAGGACCCAACGGCGTCCTAGCACGAAGTGCAAGGATACCTATTGTTATTCGTGGTATTATTATTATTATTCCATATTTCAATGCTTATTTTCAGGCCTTTAGGATGCTGAGAAAGTTGTATAATTTTGCACAGATTCCAGAATCGGTGAAAAATTTGATATTCTGGAGTCAATGTGTTCAAATTGTCCAACATGCTCTCTAGCGCCACCTATGGCCATTTCCGTTTTTGGAAAGATGTACAAAGTCGCACCGTAACTCCAAATGACCTGAAATTTTTCACACTTACTCGGGTGGACCTGCTCTACATATAATGTCCAGGTACCCTTAAGCTCCGCCTACTTTATTTTTTTTAAATTAGCATAATTTGAAAAACAGTTAAATATTCACTTAAATTTCAAATTTTGGTTTTTCAACACCAAACTCAGTATACAGTATTGCCGGAGGGTCAGACACATTATCGTAGGAAATGAGCATGTTCAGTTGATAAATGTGGTCGTCATTACTCTAAATGTCTTCGCAAAAAGGCGGGGCTTACATACAAATGCTCATAACTCATCAACAATGTACCAAAAAAACACACATTTTGGTGGTAAGGTTCAGTCTGTATTGGGGAAGAAGCACAACAAGTAATTTCCATTTTGGACTATAGGGGGGCGCCAAAAACATGACAAATGTCTAACTCATTAACTGATGGACGAAATATTTTTCTTTTTTTGTAGACATACTCTGGGGATGAGTATGGACTTATATTCAAAGTGTCACAACGAATGACAAATGTGGGCGTGGCCTGTACTTTTTTTTTTATGACGATGAGCTAAAATGGTTTTCGTTACGCAAAAATTGGTACACGAGTCACAGCCCACGACCTTTTCCATAATGTAAAAAAAAAACGTACATTTTCAAAAAAAACTGCTCACTAGCGCCCCCTATTGTGTGGTAGTCGCATATAGTTTCTCAGAACTTCACGAATTTTGGCACAGACATTCCTCATGGAATTGCGGAAATATTTGTACATACATTCCATTAGCCCCGCCCCCCAAAAAGTCGGCCATTTTGAAATATGTGCGTTTTTTATGCATTTTAAGCACATTCGTGCGGATTCCTCCTAGGGGAATGATCGGAAAAATTCCAATCCAGGACACGTTCAGCCCCTATCCAATATGATACTTAATGGAGAAGAACATTTTTGATAGCTCAATCGTGGAGGTCGTAAGCTAACAGCGAATACACCATTGTTGACGATTTACATGTCGCAAATTACTCCAAATTACTCGGATATAGTTAATCCGATATTCACGAAACGCTGTATACATATTGCTATTATGATTGCACACATATTTCAAATTGCCTTCCATTAGCCCCCGCCCCCCAGAAAGTTGGCCATTTTTTTAAATGTGCCGTTTTCAGCCATTTTACGCACGTTCTTGCGAACTCCTCCTAGGGGAATGATCGGAAAAAATCCAATCCAGGACAAGTTCAGCCCATTTCCAATGTGATGCTAAATTGCTAACGAATAGTCGATCGCTCAAACGACGACTTCGTAAGCGAACGGAGAACTTTCCATTTTTTACGATTTACATGTCCCAAATTACTCCAAATACTCGCGTATACTTTTTCCAATATTCACGAAACGCTGTATACATATTACTATTATGATTGCACACATATTTCAAATTGCCTTCCATTAGCCCCGCCCCCCAGAAAGTCGGCCATTTTAAAAAATGTGCGGTTTTCAGCCATTTTATGCACGTTCTTGCCAACTCCTCCTAGGGGAATGATCGGAAAAATTCCAATGCAGGACAGGTTTAGCCCCTATCCAATATGATACTTAATTGAGGAGCACATCTTTGAAAAATTACTCGTGGAGGTCGTAAGCTAACAGCGAATACACCATTTTTGACCATTTACATGTCACAAATTGCTCCAAACTGGTCGCATATAGTTTTTCCGATATTCACGAAACGCTGTATACATATTGCTATTATGATTGCACACATATTTCAAATTGCCTTCCATTAGCCCCGCCCACCAGAAAGTCGGCCATTTTGAAAATTGGCCGTTTTTCATGCATTTTAAGGACATTTCTGTAAACTCCTCATAGGGGAATGATCGGAACAATTCCAATCCAGGACAACTTCAGCGCATATCCAATGTCATGCTACATTGAGAAGGAATAGTCCTTCGCTCAAACGGGGAGCTCGTAGGCTAACGGAGAATGTACCATTTTTCACCAATTATATGTCAGATAAGCTACTGAGGCCTGCCTGTTTGCCTGGCACATCAACTCTCACACACACACACACACACACACACACACTCACACACACACACACACACACACACACACACACACACACACACCTACTGTTAGTCCAACAACACCCTTTGCTGGCGGCATATTCATTACAACTGACACCTATACACTCGCTAACCCTAACCCTAACCCTAATGTTTATTTGTAGATATCTCCTAAAGCCTACAAATAAAGTGTGACATGTAGGCCTGTTACATTTGTTATTGAGCGATATATATTATACACACTGTTCTTCTTTCTGCACTGCCCTCAGCAGCTGTTCTCACTGTAACATCACCTAACATCCAGGGGACATGTGATTAGTGAGTAAACAAACTGTAAAGGGCAGAAAGTCTGATGCACATTTGATCATCTCAAATAACTTATAATCACAACGGGAACAGTTTGCAGAGCTGTGCTTCGTTTGACAGAAGTCCAGCCATGCGTCACGCCTCTTTTAAACATCACTGTTGGCTTAAATCGTCTCAGGAGAATACTTCAGTGTACCCTCGGTTATAGCTCCTCCAGAGACACTCCTCTCTCCTCTAAATCAGTGCATCCTCGGTTACGGCTCCTCCAGACAGCCTCCTCGATAATCGATCCTCGACGACCCTTTAGAGAAATTTGTTTTCCTTCGACATCCGTTTCCGGGTCGCTGCCGGAGCACCTGGGAGTCTGGGACGCCAAAATTATAGAAATGACAAACCGCTCATTTCCCAGGACTCGCGCACGTCTGCTTGACGCCGGGACGACCTGCCGCCCTCCCCGACAGGCGCACGGACGCGAGGGCCCGCTCATCACTGCGCGCACAAGTGCGACCGCAGTTTTAATTATTATTATTATTAAACAGAATAAGAGACCTGACAGACGTTGACCTGGCTGCACAGTCACAGAGGCTGGCTGTGTCAACTGTTCACACTTCACACCTGTACAAATAAAAAAAATGTTATATGACAGATTATCCTGTTAAACAGCAGTATAATAAGTGTTGACTCACTTCCAGCTGCCAGCAGCAGCAGCAGCAGCAGCAGCAGCAGCAGCAG